TATATATATATTTGAAATCTTTGAGTATTTTTGGAAAGGAAGCACATGGCCTTTCTCATACCCAATCCTGTTTGAAATATCAAGACTCTAAGAAAATCATAGATAATAAAATGGCTTCTCATCACACACACGACCAGAACATGACACACACAGAGCTTTGCTGTCACTGGCAAGGAAAGCCAGAGCTCAGAAGTGGTTTGGCTGCAGCTGTTTGTGTTCAAGACAACGAGCACTGGTCTGGTTCTCCACCTGGTGGGGTTCCAGGTGAGAGGAGAGGATCAGGCCTGATTCTATTCTAGCCTGGTTTACTAAAAGCAAGACTTGTGTGTCGTGCAACTGCCCTTCTCTGTTGGCCATTGGTGCCAGGGAAGGGCTCTGCAGCCCACCCACACCTGAGGGGGCACTTTGAGGGCAGTTCTGAGGATGTGAAGTTTGACAGAATAGCAGCAGAGCAGAGAGCCCAGGCAAACCCTCAGCCTGGAGGGCAGGTGTGGCCAGCCCAGGCCCAGGAGCAGAGCCAGGCACAGGGCCAGTAGCAAGGGCTGCTGCAGCACAGATTTACCTGGGATCTGGTGTCTTCTACAGCCAAGTCTTAGTCACAACCATTACCTTTAAATGACTTCTATGTGGTCACTAGAGCATCTCCAAACAACACAAATGAAATCCTTATTTGAAAACTATGATTTTTAGGTCCATCTACCTGAATAGGATAGTGTCAAAGACCTACAGACAGAATAAGCATACCCTAACACACATTAGTCTTGCTGGACTTTACCAAATCATCTTCTAGACTGTACATGGAGAGTCATTCCCTTAATTATCTCTTTGCTTGACAGAAATACACTAATTAAAAGACTGTCCTGCATACTATTTAAAAAACTCAAAAAGTCATCAAACCCCATTTTGTCTCAGCAAAGCCAGAAGGTTGCTCCTTTGTCTTTCCATCCATCAGCAGTGTCACAAATCTTCAATTTGGCAGTTTCATACACTCAGGGTAACCCTTCCCTATCTCTCTCTCCCACACACAAAAGGTTACTATACTCACTAATGTGCAAAGCTCCCTAGCCCTTCCCTCTCCTATGCTTAGGGCAGGGGTAGACAGCAGCACTGTTCCTGTGCAAAAATTACTGAAAGTAATAGAAAAACCAGAATTAATTCATTTTAGAGAGAGGATTGCACTATAAGAAAATGTTGCTGCACATTTCCTTAGGGGACTGAAAGGAATCAATTCTTCCTGCAGGATGCTGATAACCACAGTAGACCAAGAGGATTCGTGTTCCTGAGAGCCTACATGTCAATTTTGAGGTAAATGACCAACACAAACAGGCAAGCTCCTACCTCTTTAGAACAAAAATAGCTTCCAGAAAGGTCCTTTAGTCCTGAACAGAAAATGTCAAAAATCACAGAGTTTAGATACGGAGGGTTAGAAGAGCCATGGGAATCAATCACCACATTGCAACTTAGAATCAAGCAGTAAGTCTTCACAGGCAAAAAAAAAAAAAAAATCTGACTAACCTTTTTCCTGCTACAAGGCTTTTTCTCAAACAGGACTATCTGCCTGCTCCACAGCTATCCTGACTCCCACACTAAGGTACTTGCAACACCAGCCTCCACTGAGACACAAAGGAAAACATTCGAGTCCCTGGGAAGGTGAGAGCAGAAATGGCACACACACCTACTGCTTTGCTCAGAGGCTCACTTAGTAAAGAGTGGGTTTTGGTTTGCTTCATCTCCATTTCTAGTGCTTTTAGTGCCCTCTGTTATTTACATAAAGCACCACTAGTCTGAGGGTTAAGCAAAACATCCCTAAGAGTGAAAGCCACTCACTCACTCTTGAGTTTCTTCTGGGCTCATTTTTACCAGACTGATCTTTGCCTGTTTGCAGCTCTTAGTCAATATTTATCTTTACTAGCAGCTAGTTTAAATAGCTAGTTTAGCTATTTATCTTTACTAGCAGTATTTATCAGTACTAGCAGCTTTTGTGGGACCTAAGACCCAATTACCATCAAAATGCCTTCATGCCTTAACAGCTGCTCTAAATGAGCTAATGGCTTCTATAGGAATCATAACATCTGTAATCACTTTATATTATACATTACATCCTTATGTGGCAGAGATTTGGTACAGTCCTTTCATCAAACGTCTTGGAAAGAATTATTTAACAACAACACTTTATCCACTCATTGGAGCATCTAATGCTCACTGCCTATTTGCAATGCTGAAGTATATTCCAAATGGGGGGGTGAAATGTATCTACTCATAGCCCAGCACACAAGGAAAGCATGCAGTCTACTCAAACATGTGACAGTAAATGGCATTCAACTGAATTCTCGGCACCAAGTGCAAAGGGTTGTGATCCAGCAACCAGAGACTGTAGAGGGGGCAGAGGAATGACTCAGACTGTAAAAAGAGTTCAGTGTTCTTTGTCACAGTAGTGTTACATGTCTACTTCCCTGCTTAGCCCTGCGCCTCCCAGGCAGGAGCTGCCACCTGCACCATGCCAGGTGTGGAATGCTGTGTGCAGCAGGGCCTTCCTGGGCCATGGCACTGCTGCTGATGGTCCCAGCCAGGAGTCTCCTTTCCACAGCCACCCTCAAGTGGGGTGTTTTTGGTGTTGACTGACAGCGAGAAGGGCACATTTGTGATGATGTATCAGCTGGAATTAAGGAGGACAGGGAAGGCACAGCCAGAGGCAAGCAAATGGAAAAACCTCCAGGTGACCCCAGGGTGGAGCAAGGACTCATAACCACCATGTGCCCCTCTGCAGTGATGTGGTGCTCAAGCAAAGTTGCCAAAAGGTGCGTGCATAGAGACTCTTCAGCTCTGCTGTTGACCTAATTTAGGCCACATCTTCTGAAACAGTTTGATAATCAATGCAAGAAGCATTTTTCTCCTCTAATACTGGAGGTACTTTTGATGTTTTCTGGATGTTTAATGCTCCTTTCAAGTTTGTTTTTCCCAGCTTGCCAGGTAGACAGCACAGTTCTCATCTGTTCATGTTGATAAAATTTTAGTGAATTATGAACCTCAGAGCTTGTGAGGAAGGCAACTTTGATCCAGTGTCCACCCAAGATAAAGACAGGTGGATGGGTCCTGAGGAAGGCTGGTCCTGCTGTTCAGCTGCCAGCCCTCTGTTCTGCTGGGAAGCTTTTGGCCACCTCACTTTCCTTCGTGTCTGACTCTACTGAGGCTGTGCTGCAGGAATCGTTGTATGTGTCTGAAAAGGAGGACATGGACATTGTCACTACAGTGTGTCTACAGGATTTTTCATCTACAGTCTTAAGGTTCTTTCTTAAAAGCCTGGAATAAAATTAAACATAAAATCACAGTTCTACTGCTCTTCTAATTCCTTCACAAAAGGCAAGGGAGGCTCTTCTGGTGTGTAACTGTAATATGTGCCTGGTGTAGTTTTTCCTTTGAAGCACTGGACATGCCAGTGAAATGAGAGCCATAGTTGGGCAGGTGAGAAGAGGACTGACCTGCTGTGGAGGTGAAGTAGCAGTAATTACCAAACTCCCTTTACACCACAACGAAGAATTCTGAGGTTAAAAAGTTATTTCCTCCACTTAAACTGACCAAAAAGATCAAAAGAGATCAGTAACTCAGAATAAGGTGCTGGTAGCTCTCCATCGCAGATCCCCAGGGAATGACTGTACCAGATTTTGCTTTCTTCTGCTACCAGAAGAAAAGCAGGACACATTTGGTAAGTTATATTTAAGGATGGACAAATATTAGTCTAGAATTGTAAACCTTTGATCTGCAGAGTTGCTCAGATTCAGCTTTTCCAGTGCAACCTGTTTGGGTGTTAGGTCAGAACCAAAGCTGTGACTGGATGACTTTTAGTGCTGATTTGGCCGAAATCTTGCCAGAGCAGCCCTTCCTGCAGCTTTTGGAGCCAGCTGTGAAATATGATGAAGGCAGTAATGGTTCATGAAATTTTAATGTTTTCAAGCCTAGGCCAGAAGCACAGCCCTGATGCTGGTCTCCATCCAAACTCTATCCATGACAGGATCAGAGCTGCCCTGCAGGCATACCCCATGTATGAGACTCTTGGGCTCCCTGCAAAGCAGCCAGCCTGAGTGCTGGTAGCCATAGAAGTTGGGTGGGAGATTGAAGTTCTGCTCAGAAAGGGGGAAACAATTAAGCCAGGCCAAGGAAAGCTGCTGTGCCTGACTAGCTCTGACACCCAGGCACCAAATTTCAGGTTAGCTCAGCCATGTCACCAGAGACCGTAGCACAGATATGCACTCAGGTGAGTACTTCAACACAGAAATGCACTTTTTATCACATTTTTTTTTTGCTATCACATTCTTTTTCAGTATGGAGAAGAAAACAAATATACCAGTAACACATTTTCTTTATTACCTGCATTGCTGCTCTTAATTATGTTGTTACTGTCCCCCTCTGCTGGCTGCAATATGCTGGAGGGAACCCAGTCGCTTTTCTCAGAGACCAGTTTCTTCACTAACCTGAAACTCAGAGAACAGTCAGTGAATTTTCCTACATTGACCCTCCTTGGGTTGTGTGTCTTAGAGGTGCATGTTGGGCTATTATCTCCTGAACTGAGGAAGAAGGCACAGGAGCCAGGGCAGTCCTACAGGTATCCATAGAGAATCACAGAATCACAAGGTTGGAAGAGACCTTCAAGATCATCGAGTCCAACCCAGCCCTAACACCTCAACTAAACCATACACTCAGTGCCACATCCAGTGTTTTTTAAATCACAGCCAGGAATGGTGACTCCACCACCTCCCTGGGCAGACCATTCCAGAACTTTATCACTCTTTCTATAAAAAAGCTGTTCCCTAATATCCAACCTATATTTCCATCTTTTCCAGGAGGTTCTGGCTGTTCCAGCTGTCCAGTTCTGTCTCTCTGCCATACTCACCATTGACCATTCTCTCCTTCCTGCACAAACTGCACTAAATCTCCATCCTCGAGAGAGAGAGAATCTGGGAAACAGCTGTCAAAACTGCCTTCGACCCGGAAGAGATTGCTCCCCTAAAATGAATGAAACAAGACATCAGAAATACAATCACTATGGATGAAAGAACACAGTGCAAGAGATTTTAGTTAGATACTGAATTAGGCATTTCAAGCTGGCAGATATTTCTTCTGTAGGCAATTGTGATATATCATGCCCAGGTCAAACATTACTCAAAATTTGGATAGACTGTTCTCTGCATTTAGACTTTAGGCTTAACCTACCAGCCATTATTCTGATGTAAAAATTGGGTTTGTTCACACCAGGTGAAGTTATCTGGAAAAGTCTGAAATTGCTTTTTTTAAGACTCAGAGTTTTCCCTCAGTTTTGTAGCAGGCAAAGCAACAGCCTACAAGTATGGGTGACTTTTTATGATCCTCATCCCGATCAACAAAAGTCTTGTAACAATCTTCCAACACCCGAGATCAAATTTCCATCTTCTGTATTTCCACAGATCCATGGATTTAAGGCTGGTGTGAACCCAAACTTTGCAGGTTACACTGTGATCCTTAGAGAGGAGGAAGTTGTGCTGGCAAAGGGCAGTGTAATTTTAAAAAGCAATTACATTGTTAGGGTTGGTCTCTTCCTCCAAATCAGAAGAGTTAGAGAGTTCATCCATGCTGGAAGGGATGGCTTCAAAATCTTCAAATGTGTCTAGAGAAGGCATTTGTCTGCCGGGCCAACCTTTTCAAAAGACATAAACCAGACAGTTAGCTATCAGACATTAGCCTCTTTGAGAATCAGTCTGTAGAATAAATGTCACATGTTCACTTCCTGCTCTTCCACTTACCAAATTGCTGGTACTTTTTTATAGCTTATTCCACGGTTTTGCCATAAAAATTATGTCACAGCCATTATTCTGTCTCTAAAAAAGTCTAAAAGTCCGCACCACTCACTGTCCCTGGTGTGAGAGCAGCATGTGTGGCTGCAGTGTTCACACCCATGGATGCTCCCAGTGCTCAGCACTGCTCAATCCCTTCAGCTCAGGAGGTACAAAAAACAAGGACCAGGAATCTTCCTGCAGAGCAAATGATAACTTGTGCTGACATGACTTTCAGAGGGCCATGGTGATTCAGTTTCCAGCTTACCTCCACATGTTTAAGTACATAGCCATGGAATTTTGGTTGACTTCTTATCTCCATCTCACCCCAAGGTGATATTACCACCTGAGCAATTTACCAGATTATACCCTGGAGCAGGCTGCAAGTGCAGGGAAGGGACAGAGTAAGCAGCAAGGCACAAAAACAACCAGGGAGGTGAGGAGAGATCTCAGTCATATTTGTGCTGTGTCTGTCTTACTGCATGATTTTCACCAGAACCACCCCAACCCAGTGGAACGGACCCAGTGAGAGATTTCCAGCCTGACTCAAGAGCCAGACTCTCTTCACCTAAAAAGGCATGTCCATAGGATGTGTCCTGAGGGAAACTGAGGCTGAGCCTGATAAGACCTGTCTGCCTGAGGCTGCCATGGTGCAAAACTAGCCCTGGCTCTTTTGTGCAGGTGGCAACCATCATCTACACTTCCCTGCACTTGATGCCTGGTAGGGATGGGGATGACTACAGTCCAGCTCAGAGGAAAGAGACCTTGCATCTACCAAATGATTTTGCAGCCCTGACAGATACATGCTGAATGCAGTCAGTCAATTTACCATATGCCTTCCCAATTAGTGTACCTGCTGGGCATGAGCTGATTCACAGGGACTTGGGCTGAGCAGATGCTGAACCAAGTTCTTTACATCCTGTGGGCCATTGCTCTGACCACAAGGCATGGAGACAGATGCTCTCGCAGTGGGATTATGCACATCCCAGCACTCTCAACCCACACCAAACCCTGGCCTGAGGCAACACAAAACCCAAGCCAGGCAGTTCAGGCAGTAAACAGAAAAGTGACCTGATCTGGGAGAAATTTATTAATTAGTTTATTTAATCCCTCCCCATGCACACCCTCCCTGCTATAAGCACTGATGGTGCAACACATGCTCATGCAGCTCTGCAGCCCTTCTGCCACCCAGGGATGTCTGCTCCAACAACTGCAATCCAGTTCAAGGAACACAGAGACTTCTTCCAGCACAGCTGCATCCCCAGCTATCCCCCCACAGGGATGGTCGGGCCATCTGTGCTTTTAAAGGTGTAAATCAGCCTCTGAAGCGACACTGTCCTGTACTATACTAGCAAAGGTCTAAAGATACAAGAATATGCTGATTCTAGTTAACTTCAAACTGCTACTGCAATTTTAGTTCCAATTCACAGGCTGGACTACAAACACCAAGAGAAAAAGATACCCCTCTACTCCATTAGACAAAGCTTCCACAGTCTTTTGCCACTGTCATTTAGAAACCTTACCAGCCAGAATTCCTTACAAATACATCTATCAGCCTCCCCCTTCCATACAAATCCCTATTCTAATTTCAGAGACTAAGAAACAGCTTGTTTCTCATGCTTAATTCTTATAAAATAAGACAGATCAAATTCTAAGCTCTCTTGCTTTCAATTAAAATAATTATTTTCAGCCTGACCTCAGAAAACCAGAATGTGGAGCATTGTTTCTAAGCTAATGATCCAAGCTTTTTCTTTCATTGTTTTGATGGGAAATAATATTCACCAAAAGAGAAAACTCTCCTTATAATAAAGAGATGAAATATTATCATAAATTTAGTTTGCACTCTCAAATTGAGTTTACAAATACTTTAATTGTGTTTACCTGTCTGTGAAGCAGATCTAGGTACGGATCTCGTGGTGGGACCGGCATTACATTTAGTCTGGGCCAAAATGGTGTTCTCAAAAGCATCTGTGACAGGAAGTACAATTTGTGTCTTCAAGGTGAAACAGTGACCAGACAACCAGTACAAAGTGAATTCCTGCATCACCTCTGCAACTGACAGGCTCTTTAACAAACAGGTGGACTGGGGTCCAACAGTTATAAAAGAGGAGACACATGACCAGCACAAATGAGTGAAAGGACAGCAGCATTCCACAGAAAAACTGTAAGTCTGAGAAGGACAGAGAACAGCGAAATGAATCAAACAGAAGCATTGATGTTAATTAAGGAAGACAATTGCTGAGTGAACAGTGCAGTGTTCTATTTCATTACAGCTTCCTTACCCATTTTAACATATTTTCCTTGCAGCTTTTAAAATTATTTTTAGGTGATAATTTATGGTTCTGATCCTAATACATACAGCAGTAAAAGGGGACCAGGGAGACCAGAAATTAATGATTTCACCCTTGATGAATGCAACAGAATTTGGGGGGAGAAAATCCCTTGTGTTATTACCTCAGTCAGAACCCTGTCAATAGCAGCAATATCCTCTGCTAAAGGGGTGATAATGTCCATTGTTTCCTACTTAAAGATACTCAGCCTGGTGAGGGATGCTGTGCAGCAGTACTTTGTTTTCAACCCGTGAGAAGCAAGTCAGTTCTATGCTGCAGATAGTTCTTGCACCTTGAAATCCCCCCTGCCCCTGCAGCCACAGGGGATGCTGAGATCAGGGCATCTGTAAGTGAGGGAAGCAAGGCATAAACCTCACACTTTGGGTAGAGCTGGGTGCCAGGATGGTTCTAAACAGTGCCAGGGTTTACTGGCAAAAGGAAATATTCTGCAAACAGCAAAGCTACTTCTGCTGTCTCTGAATTGTTTCTTCCAGAGTGCCATGGGAGATAGCTCTGATATTTCACCAGTTCCATCACTGACCTGTTCACTGGCTCTTCCTACCAAGATTTTGTGCAGAACAACACAATGCTGTGAAAGGAGTCCTCAGCCCACATCTTTCTCCTGCCTGTCCTGCAGCAGAGGTACTTGGATCCTTGTGTTCCCCTAAGGCAAATGGTCAGGGAAAGGCTGGAATGGAAGCTGGTGATCTTCCAGTGACTGAGGAGCAGCACCCCAATTTAACTCTTTGGTTCTGTTTGTTAAACAGTAATTTACAAATCTGCTGCAACAAATTGGTGGAAATTCTGCTTGTCTGAAATGAAACACTGCACTGGGTTTGAAATGGCTATTAATGTACAGCCTAGCCTCTCCTGTAGTCTTCATGCACATGGCTCCTGCTTCTCTCATTATGAGTAGACACCAGCAAGGGAAGAGGGATGCAAGTGGCCAGACTGCAGGTGAAGGTGAAAAGGAGCCCCTTGGCTCCCTGCTGCTGCTCCCTATGGAGGGAGGCAGAGCCAGGCAGAAAATCCAGATCCAGGTGACAGCCTAGAGCTTTACTTCCCAAAACAGGCAGGGAACTGGGGGTTTAATTCAGGCCCATGCCTACATGAATATGAGTGCAGGGGACAGGTAAGGGAGTAACAAGCTGTCTTTATCCCAGTTATGCAGATAAACTGACCCCAACCCCCTAATGAACTCCAGTGTCACCCACCAGCCGTGATGAGATGTGAATTCAGTGAACAATATCAAACGAGGTTTTCATGCAGGATGGAAATACTCCTACCTTCAAACCCCAGGGGAGTTGGGTCACTCTTTATTTCATGTCTCTTGACTTTAACTGCAGGAACAAGGGGACCTGTGTGGAGTTTATAGAGTCACAAGGCTGTAAATATTGTTAAAGGAGAAACTTGCTTTCCTACACCTGAAAACACTAACTACCTAACACTTGCAATTTCACCTAGAAGAATGATCAACCACTGGGTTCTGGGTGGTGGAGATACACACTTCCGTGAAGTGGATAGGGAACAAACCCCTTTGTCAAAAGACATTGAGACATCACAGCAAAAGCATCTGCTTCCCTTGGGGTCTCACAGACGCTGCCTCTCACTCTTGCCCAGGAGATGGCACTAAGGCAGCAGACGCGCAGTCCCCGCCTGCGGCCGTGAGCCAGGCAGGGCACAGCTCACAGAGCCAGCACTTCTGACCCTCGGAACGGGGGACACCGGCCACAGGTCCGTGTGCAGCCCCTCTCCTATGCCCCACTGCAGATGTGGGGGCAGCTGAACTGCCAGGAGTGACGATCAGACACAGCAGCAGCCTCAGAAGTGGTGACCACAACACCCTGGCAAGGTCTGCATCTGGGCTGATGCTCTGACAAGACTCAGGATTCAGTTCTTCTGTCATCTGAAATATTTTCTTAAAGTAGATGCTGTGACTAAAACACTTAATTGAAAAGCACTGATCCTGTTTTCTAGCTTTGAAAATCATTGCAGAAGTGGTTTTCTCAGTATCCCAAGAGATTGCCAACAGTCTTTTGGCAGACAGGATTCTAGAATAGGACTTTTTGATATGAAACTGTAACAAATTTTAACTTTCATAGCAATTCACACATGCTCTCTTTGATACACCACACTAAAGAACAACCCTTGGTTGCCCATTTTCTTTGTAGATACATGCTTCATTATGTTCCCCAGCTTTGAAAAGATTTATTAGGAAATGACTCAGTCTTCCCATAATTTAGCAACTGATCATGTATGTCTGAGTTGTTGCTGAGGGCAAAAAGCTGTAATAACCTCTTCTCATGTGCTATGCCCATCACTTCCATGTAAGGATGTTCTAGTGCTGTGGTCTAAAGGTGCTGTCAAAGAAACATTTGTAGGTAGTGAGACTATCACATCCTGCCTCTGCCCATGAATCCCACCATGCCCTCATTCCCTGACAGCCTCCTTGCAGCCAAGGATGTGGCTCATATCCTGCACAGCTGTTGAGAAGGGAACAGATACTGAGCAACTTTCTTCCTGACAACTACAGAGCAAAGATTTTTATACAAATTAATTCTACAATTTTGCCTTCTAGTTTGATCTTTTGAATTGCCCTGAAAAATTTAACCTTGCAAATCAGTTCCTCCAGTCCATTCCAGGAACTGCCAAAAGGTAGTATATTCAGAATTCCATGTAAGACCATATGTTCTGTTATCAAAATTATCCCTGATATGCGGGCATATGTGCTCCTGCAAACCTAACCCCACATCAGCCAAACATTAATCCAATTTCCATGGACACCAGCAACACTTTTTGGAGCCTACAATGGAGAAATTGAGAAGAGTCAGTCTGTGTGCTGACAGCACACCTCAATACACATTCAAAATGTCCTGGCCTGCCTCCCTGCAGGTGTTACACTGGTGCTCGCTTTTCTTCTACTGGAACCTCCTGCTCAGTGAAAACTGGGCCTGAGAGGCTCACTCTGAGCAGCATTTGGCAGTGACTGTGCCAGGCAGCAGGCAGGGAGAGGGGGAGCTAAGCAAGCAGCAGGACAGTACCTTTGGTGGCAGCAGAAGCATTGGCTGTAGTGCTGATGGAGGAGGCTAGGGAAAAGCGACGGGTAACTTCTCTGTCCTTAGACTCTGGATCTGGGAGAACAGACAGATGCAATGCAGGGCAGGGTTAGAGGTTAATAAGCACTGGGGGTAAAAGGTGTTCAAAGCAAAGCAGCAGCTGGAAAAGGGTAAAGAAAAGAAAGGTTGCTCCTCTAAAAATACCCTCAACAAGGTGAAAAGCACAGAAAGTGTTACTATGAACATATTTTCAAAGCAATTCCAATTGCACCAATTTCAATACTTCAGAAAAGAGCCATGCCAATTATTATTTTAGCAACCAACTAGCGTCCAAGTACAGCTACAAAACACAGAAATGAGCATGATGGCTGGAATGGGGTGTGCATCTACAGATGAGGTTTGGATCATTTTAGACACTGAGCTGCTTGTTCTGTGATGACTGACCTGAAATACACTGAAAAACAAGCAGGAATGGTTTGGAGTTCACATTTGTCATTTCTAAAATTTAACTGTGTGAATGCCTGAAAAATATTCTCCAAGCTTCCATCTTTACCAGTGCAAACCAGCTTGGAGAAAGTGAAGGCTACAGAGTATTTTTCTCTTTCCTTATTCATCATCCTGCCTTTTCTCTAAGTCTGCTCAGGAGTAAAGACACAGACTCCCCACATTTCACTATGACGTGTGCTGAAGTTGTTCCCACCCCAAGGAATATGAACTTGGCTCTGCAAACTAGGATGGCTAATGCTGACCCAAGGGTGGGGAGATGCAGGGTGCTTTGAGTGTGGACTTGGATACACTTTGGTGCCAGCTCTGGGATGGCTGCCCCAGGGATCTCTGCTGGAGAGCAGGGAGCTCTGGGATCTCTGCTCCAGGATGCCAAAGTTTCTTCTCCAGACATCAGCATTTTTTTGACTAAAACACCAAAGTGATTATATACAACATTTTCCAGCCTGTCATATCCAGCCTAGGCAGAGAGTTCAGCATTTCTCTGAGCATCCATGCTCCACTGGCAGTTGATACCCAATCTTGTTTACACTCTAGTTAATTGGGGCATTATATTGTTTAGACCTTCCTTTTTATGTGCTCTTGACAGAAACAGACACAGCAGATCTGAACCAAAGTACACTCAGCTCAACACACCATCCTTCACCACGGCCAGTAACAAAAACCTTTAGACAAAGTGTTGAGGAGCAGGACAAGCTGATAGCAGACACTTCCCTGTTCCCTTCTCCCAGCTTCCAGCGTGCCCCAGCAGCCAGCCCGGGCAGTGCTGAGAGGCTTTGCCTGCAGCCATGACCACAGCCAGCCTGTCTGCCAGCAGCTCCCTCTGGCCAGAGCAGGTCAGCCCCACAGAGTGAAGCAGGACATTGTGCAAGAGGTGTTCCACAGGAATCTCGAGTAACCAGACCCAGCAAGGCTTTGAACTCAGAGCACCTACAGCTGAGCTCTTCCCAGCTGTGCTTCGCTGCCTGCAACACTGAATACAAGGCAAGACATTTCTTATGACAAGAAAAACTCGGATTAAAAAGTAAAAGAGAGCCCAAACAAAATTGTAAATCTAGACTTGCAAAAATTACAGCATTATTTCTGAAATCTGTGTTTTGTCATTGATTTTCCTGAGTCACAAAATCTAAAATCCACTTGCTTTTGTATTCAGACATTGAACTTTGTTTGTCCATCTTGGATCTCACTACCACATGCAGCCTTAATCTGGTAGCCAGAATCTTACAGCAGTGCTGACTCTTGGTGCGTTCTTATCTACTTTATCACATTATAATTTAATGCTTCTGTATTTCTTCTTTTATGCTTTCATCTTGCTTCTTCCTCCTTTGATGTTCACCCTCTCCATCACTGCATACTAACCCTTTGTCTCACAGAGGAAATATTATTTATCAGAACAGGAAAAAAGCCACACAAAAACAATAAAGGGAGTAATTACAGTATCTTTTCAGAAAGTAATTATAAGTAGTCAGTCAATTTAATTTCTATTCACATTTCTTTCTTTCCTCTAAAGTCTCTTCCTTGTACAGCTACCACAGGAACTTGCAAAGCTCTCTTTTCATGGATATCTACTAAACATTTATGCACAAGTACCCAAAACACAGCATTTTACGGTGTCATATAACACAATTAAGTGGAATAAAACCCCAGTTCTCCTGAATTCTCGTTCCCCACTAGGCCACAACTGAACAATATTTGAAAAAACAACAACATCCAACCAATGAATGATTTCACACATGAAAAATCTCATGTAGCACAACAGATATGATACTCTTTTTCTTCAAGCCTGTAAGCTGCTGAAAGAAGTTCAGTTGATCATTTAAAACCAGTTCACACTTTGACCCTTGGGAGAAACTGGAAACAAATGTTATTTGCACTGTACACCAGTAAAAGACCCAACCAGCCAACCCAGAGGTTGCCTTGCCAATGCTGCTGTGGGAGCAATTTTTGGTGACGGTGTCTTTGAGCAGAGGAGCCACTTGTGTACACCAGAAAGGAGCATTTGGGTGAGATGCAGCAGCACTTTAGGAAACAGTGATGGATGGCACCATGGGATGGAGAGAACACCGTGGGAGTGCAGGAGACAGATGGCCTGAGACCAAATGCTGCATGGGTGATTTTACCTTTGGGTGGAGCTCTGCGGTTGGAAAGACCTTGCAATGTGAATCGCTTTCTAGCAAGCGCTGTGCGCTCAAGGTTAAGGCTGCTGGAAGCATCAACTAGGAGAGAGAGGGAGAGGGAAGAGAAATAAGGAAGGAAGGGACAGCTGTTTAGCTTATGGGAAAGGAAAGGTTAGCACTGGATGACAACTCAAAAGAAATCAATAAATTTTGATTCAGTTCAAGCCTGAGCAAGAGCTAATCAATTGGAAAGGTGACATGAGGTCAGGGTGAGTAAACCAGCTGAACCAAACAGACCCCTGGGTTGAGTTTGGCTCACTGAGTTTTAATGGAGAACAACAACAAAACAAAACCAAAGAATAACAGGTGAAGGGAGGTAGCTCTCATCAAGGGAAAATACCATTTAGCAGCAAGCTAGTGCCTTCTGGTATGGAAACACATCATTGGTTGGAGCAGTGAGTTGTAGGGAGAAATAAGAGAAGAAGCCTTGCAGTACAAGACATGCAAGTGTTGGGAGCAGTCCCACTTCTGCAATCCAGCACTGGCACTGAAGAGTCTGCCCTCACCAGTCCTGTGGCTGGTACACCTTCAGCCTTACCTGCTGAAACCTTTCTAAAGCCTCTGAAGCTGGCAGAGTCATGCAATTATCTCCTGATTTGCTGGGATGTAAGGGTGCCATGCCAGCAAAGCTCACATGCCAGGCTCCTGCATGAATAATCAGCCATGCTGTCTGACAGCTGCCTCTGCAGAGATCACAGAAGGATGGAGGTCCTGAGGCTCTGGGCTTGAAAGATACTCAGTTACTCACATTGCAGGAAACAGGACCTAGCTCAAACCCCCAGATCCACACATTCCTGCCAAATCCTCCATCTGCTCCTTTCTTGGTGTGGGCAGATAACACCCAGAAGGTTTATGGCAAAGGAGCAGGAGAAAAACCATGTGTTGGGTACCTGCTTCTGAGCCTTGGGATTTAACCAATAGATTTTCCTCCTCTTTAGTTCACACACTATCACATGAAAATCTTTAGAAGGACAAATGAAGACCAAAAGTACAAAGGGAACACAAAGAGATAGTGAATCCACGCTGACAGACAAGCAACAGACAGATTAGCTGTGCTTCCAAAGGAAAGTGCATCCCATCACTTCCCGATTTGCAGCCAAGATAATCTAAGACCCAAGGTGCCTGCATGCATAGGGGGGTGTGAGAGGAACAGATTTTAACAACACAGAAGGATTATGTCACTGTGGTTCAGCTCCTTCTACCCAGTGCCAGCTCTGGGCCAGGCAGGTGCATCTGGTGAGGAGCTGCTCCCAAGCAGTGGCTTCTGCTGTGGGGCTGCCTTTGGCTTCCAAACAGTCTGTGTTGGCCATTCCCTGCTCCCACTGCCTGGCAATCTTTGTACAGATACTGTAGCTTATAAAGAATTCCAAAACTGGCACATAAAACATATTTACTTTCTGTTTTCTTAGGGCAAGAAAATCCAGAGATGTCAAATTATCAGAGATGTCCCACAGGGAGTACAGCAGTGCATGTGCAGAGGGGTGGGCTCCTGGGTTCTTCAGCTCTGAAATTGAATCACTTCACTGAGGGACCCCTTTGCTTTTCACAAGTCCCCACAGCCTCTCAGCACCAGCAAAGCATTTGACACCGGTCTTTGAAGTCATGTTGTCTCCACCTGAGTCATACAAACCTTTTCCTTCATTCTGCAGGTATACCAAATAACCCTGGAAATGATTTCCAAGCATAATAAGAACCAGCAGGTTGAAGGAGAGCCTGCAATGCACACTTGTGTCAAAGAAAGCCAGCAGCATCCTGGGCTGCACTGGGCAGAGCTATGCCAGCAGCTCCAGGGAGGTGATGTGATGTTTCCCCTCATCTCAGCACAGAGAGACCCTCCAGCAGTGCTGTCCTGTCCTGGGCTCCTCCAGTGAATCCAGTGAGGATCATTAAGGGATTGCTGACATGAGGGGAGAGTAAAAAAAGAGCTCTGACTGCACAGCCTGGAGAACAAAAGGCTCAGGAAGATCTTATAAAATAAAGAAATGGAGCCAGAGGCTTCTCAGTGGAGCCCAGTGAAAAAAGGATGAGAGAGGCAACAGGCACAAATTGAAATATGGGAAATTCCATTTAAAAATGTGAGAAACCCTTTTTACTGTGAAAGGGGTTAAACCTAGGACAGAGTCCCCATGGCAGATTATGGAGTCACCATCCTTGGAGCTGTTCAGAACCCAAAAGGCCTTGGCTGTGAGCACCTTGCTGCAGCTGACCCTGCTTTGAGTGGGGCAGTCAGACAAGGGGGTCCCCAGAGAATCCTGCAGGATTTGCTCCTGTTTTATTTCAAGGCAGTGACTCCACCAGTCATGTCCACACAAAACACTGATTTACATGTAGAAAACTCTGCCACAGCCACTTATCAATAAGAATAACAAAACTGAAATAATTTGTCAATAGTACCCTCCCCTTCTGTACTGTAGAAACTCTCCAATGTTTTAAAATAATGTGTTCACATTAACTAGACCGATATTGGAAGCATTTTACAGGCAGTAGGTGGCACAAAAGAGACAGTTTTGGCAGAGCCCCAGGCTGTGTGCCGAGTGTTGGGACATTTTTGGGTTCAGCCCCCTGCAGAGCCCTAGGTGCCTCACAGGACACAAACTCGAGTTTTGGCGGGACATGTGGAGCTGGAGAGCATTTTGGTGGCTCTGCAGAGCGAGGTTTGCAGCTCAGGATGCACAGGGCACCCAAATCCCCAAAGAATGGACTCACTGCCCAGCCCTGCAGGAAGAGCCACCCACCAGAGGATGAGGATGCTCTGGGCTGAGCCAGTGGGATCCCAGCCAGAGCCCTGAGGAGCTGCTCATGGGAAAGCAGAAGGCAGAAGAATGACAATCAGCAGGAATGTGAGCCCCGTTCCCACACTCTAGAGTAAGCTGGACAGTTAGAAAACATCAGTAATCCTCTTGGAATTTTTTAAAGTTTCTAAATTTAAAAGGAAAAGCTACTTTTCCACTTTTTGAATTAGAAAAAAAAGTCTAAATATTTTAAAAATAAAATTTTACTGAAAAAAAATTTTAAGATTGGGTTTTTTAATGAAGAATATGTAACTTTTTTCCAGCATGAAAACCTACTGCAATTAAAAATCTTTTGGTGAATGGCCTTTCTTTTCCAAGAGAGACATTCCATTTTCTTTTTAAATATCTTTATTTATAATGAGGGTGTTACTTTATGCCTCATTTGGGTATTAATCTCTTAAGACCTCACCATTTTCTTTTTTATATTAGTAGAAAATTCTTTGTTCAACATTAAGAAATACTGCCTAAAAGAGAAACTGCTGTCAAAAGATTTTCTCTTCCTGCTGTCAGATGAGATTCCATTTCTTTATAGTGTTTATTTTAACTTCTGTTGTATAGAAGACCTATTGTGCTTATGGGCTCAAATAATGGAGGGACTTTCTGTGACTGCCTGTGGGTTTATTTACTGTACACCTGGGGAGAATTGATATACACAGAGGAGGCAAAAAACTCTCCTTGACTTGAACAAAGAAATCAGTTAGCAAAGTCTGCAGAAAAAAATTTAAATTAAGTATGTCTAGAAATCAACTTCACCAGGATGCAGAAGGTTAAAACACATAGGCTATTGTCCCCTAAGTTCTATTTTTAAACACAAGTTGTATAAAGAGCACTATAAAGCATCAAAACTCAGACTTAAAAACTCTAAACTGGTGATGCCTTTTGGTGCTCACAAATTTCCATGGTTCAGTCATTCAGCTTTGTAGCATTGGTTTTTTGATGTTGGGTTAAAACAATGTAGATCTAAAGTATGCTCATCAAACTCCAGAAATATGTGCAAATGTAAAAATATTACCCTTTGGAAGCAAAAGCTCTGTGAAAAATCCTACCTCTCTTTTGTCTGGCGCTGGGACTGGAATTCCTGTTTTTATTGTTAGATGCATCCACATTTGATGTCTCAGATTTGTTTTCATATATACTTGATGACTTCCTGCTATACCTTGGGACAAAAGAAATACAAAAATAGTAACATTCCTGTTAAATCTAATAAAGCACTGAGCACTAAGCATTCTTATTTACCCTCAAACATGGAAGCCTAAGGAACAAAGGACTGGTTTTAAAATGCTGTCTGGTACAAAAGCCTGCATCTGTGCAGGCATATGTGGGAAAAACCCATCCTGCCTCCTCTGCACACCACACAGTGAGGGATGTGGATTCATTAGCGTTGAGAAGGGAAAAATGGAGAAACAAGCTGGCTGTCTGCACAACTTCTTTTTGCAAGTGCAGCAGATTTGAAAGGTTGGAGTGGGAAGCCAGGTAAGAAAAGACAACACAGATTTTCCTTCTTTTGCAGCATAAATACATTTTTCTCCAGGAGAGAAATGGATACTGGATGGTCACGTAGAGGTCATACCATGCATAAGCAACATATGAATTCTATTGGCTTCCCCAACTTCTGTTTCTTTGCTCTTTGGAGCATGAATCCCAGTGAGATATCCCTGTCTGCAGCTGAATCACAAATGGGAGGATCCACCTTGACAAACCTGCCCAGGTACTGCCTTGGGTAATGGGACTGAGGCCCCTGTCCCAGGTTTGTCGGACATTCAAACTGCAAGGTTTTCTTGTGGTTCTTTGCAAATGTCTGGTGGTTTAATTTGGATGTCTGACTGTTATTTTTGGCAGGCTGCTCCACACAAATCATTGTATCTACACATTTGAAATACTCTTTACCAAAGCTCTTGTTATTGACACGTATCAGCAATTAAACTGCTGCTTGCAAATAACACGTGAACTGCTGTAAGAGAAGGTCCAAGATACATCATTAACAACTTAAAAACATTTTAAATACTAGAGGTTTGTAAATACCTTTTCTAAATATAAAGTAGTCCAGGACTCATTGTTTTGCATTTGAACTTTTGACCTGTTTCTGATGGAATCTTAGCAAGGTCTCTGTTACCTCCTGTACTCCATCAAAATGTGATTTTGCAGCCTCATGTCGGGTACAAAATGGGGCTCAAAATAAACATGGGAACAAATCCAAAGCACACTCACATTTCCTTATTCTTTTTCCTCTCTTTCTTCCCAGCTAGGCTGGGATAACTGTGAAACATGCAGCTGACAGAGTTAAAGATTTACAGCTGTGCGAAAGACACCAAGAAAATACAAGAGCTTTTCTGAAACAGCATCTGCAGCCAAATTCCAAGAGTTTGTGTTTATCCATGTTCACAGGATATTTTTACATGGATGTATGACTGCATCAGTCATTTCCAACAAAGCAGATTGTTAAGCAGTTAGAACAATAGACTATTTAAATTTCATGTGTTTCAATAGATTAGAAAACAATACAAAGGGATCATTTCATTATCAATGAAATGTAGCAGCCATCCCTTGAGAGAGAGAGAGAGCTACAGCAGCAATAGATACCACTGGGCATCCCAGTTTAGGATTAAACAGTGAATTTTGTGGAAGAACTTGGGGAGAGAGAATTGAAATAGATTGAAGAGGAATTAGGGACACTCAGTAACTGCCTGTGTGTAGGACACTGGCTCTAAGTGTTCCTTTTCCCAACACCTCAGCTCCAATCCCAAGTCAGGCCTGCCTTATCTCATGGAATTGCAGTCCCAAGTGATGTTGGTGGCAGGTAAACAGTAAAGGGGATAGTCTTTGTCATGGGACAGATACAGCTTGGGGAGGGGAACACATCCTGCAAACAGATTTCCCCCATGTCACAGCAGAGGTTTGCCAATTCCCGACAAAAGCAGAGTCACTGTCACACATGGGCAGTCCAGGAGGAGGTGTCTGTTGGGTAGATAACATGGCAGTGATTGATCAGCCTCCTCCTGCTGGCAGAGCACGGGTGGTGCTGGCTGCCCTTTAGCAGATGCTGTCTCCTCCGCCTCCAGCACCTCTCACAGCTGGGGCTGCTTGGTCACACCAGCCACGAGCACAGGCTGTGCCACGTGGTGGCTGCTGCAGTCCAGCCTCTTCCTTCCCCTCCTTGTCTCCCCCAGCAATCCAGAGCAGGCTGCAGAAAGGGCTCCCCAGTCTGAGGAACTCTGGATCCACCATTTCACATCAACTCCTGCACAGTCAGCTTGATGCTGCAATTCTGCTGCCCCAGCTTATCTTGGGGACACATATAATAACAGATAATGGCACACCCTGACCTTTGTGCCATTCATCACAGCCCAGAACATTGTTCTTCCAGGAAGACTCACTGCATTCTTCCTCTTTCTATAATAACCCAGCATTTGGAGAAGGAGCATCTGACCTCTCTTTTTCTGGCACAGTTGGCAGAGCAAGGACAACATTTCATTTTTCCTTTGGATTAATCCACTCTAGGACAAATAGCTGATCACATGGCCTTTCTTCCTGGCGTTAATTTTCTGCTGACATATTTTGTCTAGAATTTCTGCTCTGGAAAATCTCACTTTAAGAGCCTTATAAGAAGGACACACATCTGGATTCTTCTGAAACATTTTTGTGATTGCACTTCATATCTTACTGGAATAATTTTCTCCTATCCCCAGGGTGGTTCTGCTGAAAGATTTCCATCCTTGAACCCTAAAAAAAGGCAAATTAACCAAGCCTAGAGAAAATATGGTGCAGGATTAATAGCACTACATCTGTTTAATATTTCTTGCATTGAGTTGTACAACTCTCAAAGGCTGGCTGTTACCTGGGATCTCCTGGCTTGGTTGATCCTGCTAAAATTTTACTGTGAAATCCCATGCCAACTTACATTAAACTTGCCCAGCAACTGGGTCATTACAAAACTTTGCTGACAGCTCCATTTAAGATCCTGGAAATATTCCAATACTTTTAAACTAAACTTGAGTTAGTCTTTGAAATTAATTCTGGATTGTGATATAACTTCTCTCTTGAGCAAACCTTTATCTGTGTTTATTTATCTTTAAAGAATTTGAAGACAATTGAAGGAAGCTAAACACAAAAACCTATGAATTTATGTACTGCAAAAGCACAAACACAAGACAAAACATGGTCCTGATATGTCAAGGCAGCTGTGGTTACCTGCTTGCATTGGAGGAATCCATTGGTGCATGATACACACTCTCAGTGATTCTTTGGTGCAGTTGACTTGCTTCTGTTAAAAAAAAAAAAAGCAAAAAGAAGATGCTCCAAAATGTTTCAATTGCTTCTGTTTTATGTTGAAGGTGGGAGAGAGAAATAGGAGAGGAGAGATTTTGACTGCCACTGCAATCAAAATGGAATGCTTGTACTTGAAGAGAAAGGCATATTAAGATCTTAATGAAACCTTTTAGCTCACCAAACAAATCACATTTTTTCACCACAAAAGAGATTTCTTTCCCTACTCCCTTCCCTTTTCTCGGTACCTCCTCCTAGCTAACTGCATGATATTGATCTGGAGAATGGATAATGGCCTTTTTCCCAGAATACAAGTTTTGTGGCTCACAGCTTTGTCTGGATTTAGCAACACATGTCCATCAGTCCTTTTGCATACTCAGCCACATAGCAGAATATATCCCTGTCTCTCTGCAGAATGCTTTTGCTCAGAATCCTCAACAAACAGTAATCAGAAAATGTTATATATGCCATTTGTTCGCTCTTTTTGCAGGGCCACAAGGTAGCAACAGACTTGTACCTTGTCCAGTAAATTCTGAGTGAAGAAAAAGTGTAAGACAGTTGCTCAGAGTCTGGATTTCAGGGCCAGGAGAGTCAGATACTGAGAAGTGAGCAAGCAATGGAAGGAGCTGCTTTCAAACCCTCATATTGCTGAGATCCCTGGGCTATTTCAGTCTGAAAAAGATGAACCTCCTATCAGTGAAGGAGACATGACAAGGGGATGGGGCAGCACTGAAAGATTAAACTCAGGTAGTTTGTTGGTGGGGTAGAAATGCCCATGCTGGCTGGGGAGTGGGAAGTAGCTCCATTCCTGGGTTTGGCAACTGATTCATGGCCTTACACAAATCCCTTAAGCTGTATCAGTAATTCCTTTGCCTGCAAGAGAGCTGCATCCTTGGGGATTGATGGATCAAGGTGCTGCCCAAAGCCTCGTTAGCACTCCATGCTCACTCAGTATCTGACAGGGCTGGGTACACACCAAGTGTTTGGACACCAGTGACCCATATTTTAGACTATTTATCCCATCCTGTGGCCACCTTCTCTGCCCCTCACTCATCCACCTCAGCTGGTTCCTTCCAACGTTCCAACCCCTGTGCAACTCCTAACAACAATCATTAAAAACAGCCAAAAAACCAAATATATCCCTCTTCCTTCTCCCATTGCAATGCTCAGTTGTAAAAATATCCAGTCTTGGATTAAGGCCTCTTGTTTTGTGAGCCATTAAAAAAAGAAACTTTAAAACCACAGGACAAAGCATGTGCTTCCTGACACCAGTTATTGTAGTAAGGGCTTTGATTCATGTGAGCATTTGGGAAAAGGCAATGGGAAGAGCTGCAATAGCATATGAGATACAATTTATATCCTCTGAGTGCTGTTCTGCTGGATTCACAATAAATAAAGCTTGACTATATTCACAGACTAGAATGAAAGTCACCCTTGCATGGTCTCAAGACCAGACTGAATAAAGTCTTGAGTAACCTTGTTTGACCAATAACTGACTCTGCCCTGAGCTGGACCTTGGACTGGGATGTCCTGACGTCCCTTGAAAGCTGAAATATTTTAGAATGGTATGATCTTAGTGCAAAACAATAAAGAACATCAAAATAGAAATGTTTCAATCAGTCTTGATTCCTGTATATTTTTCTCTGGAAAATGCAAAGCAGCTCTAATAGCTTATAGGTCTTGTATGCTATAGCGGTTTCACTAATGCTCATCTGGGTAACATACAAGCCTAATTTCCTTTGCCTAGAAACACAAATAGAGGACTAGCACTCTATCCTATTAAATATGTACATTTTCTCCATTAGCAACTCTTTGTGGTAGCCTAAGTAACCAGTTTTTATACTTCAGAAGCAAATAGTAAAAACCATATCAGAAAGTCTCTAGATCCAGTCCTGAAACTGCACTAACAATAATCTTGAGGTCTTTCCTCAGCAATTCCTGATGAACTAATGACAGTAAAATTCAGAATAAAAAGGAGAAAGGATGAAGGAAAGATCAGTAACACAAGACCAGAGCAGTAAACATCGTAAATAAGTGTGTTGTTATGGGTTGGATTCCATTGTTAATGTTCATAATTGTTTCCTTGTATCTAAGGAGGATGCAAGAACTCATTGTCTTTGTGAAACAGGCAATTAAAATAGAGGTGACCTCCAAAGTTAAAGCACAGGCACAAGTTTCCACCTTGGACAAAGTCTGCTTAGGAATTTGAAGGATGTGGGTGGAGAGGCTTTGCTGACCTTTGCTTTAAAGAGAGATGAGTGTATGAACGAAACAGAAACTGACAGACCAAGGTGAGAGGCAATGCCAAGATTCAGGAAAAGTCTGTGGGGTTTTTTGTCCTAAGAGAATAAATAGAGTAGCATCTATGATAGCTATCATCACTATGTTCTTTTGCTATCTGAAATAACCTGACTGAATTTTGTCTGTCTGGGGTTCAATACCTTATATAAAAAAGGGTGTCATTATTTTAGTTATTTAGGAGGCTTCAATTATTGACAGTGTTGAACACATCACAAACCACCTTCATAGTGACATCTCTGTGAGAGAGGGAAATGTCATGAACCATGTTCTACAGGGAGGTCACTAAGATGGAAAAAAGGGACAACTGACATTTAGAACATAAGGTGGGGGGTGACTAGATTTGAAACAAAAAACCCTTAAAGCCCAAACAAAACAAAGCAAAGACTAAAACAGAGGAGCATTTGCTGTGTCCAGTCATGGATGTGGAAGGAGACCTTTTGATCCAGGAGACACGGAATGCACATCCCATCTCCTCACATGCTGAGGTAAAAGGATGCTTCTGCCGTTGTGGCTTGAGAGGGACAACAGAGGAAAACCATGTTCCTTGGACTAACTGTGAATGGAATAGTTATCCCTGTCACTTCTAAAAGTCCAAGAAATTTTCTTTCATCAGGACATGGCTTTAACCCCAGCAATGCTGTAACTGCCCAGCTGGTCCTCGCTGGCTTCACTGGGGGTCCTGGCTGGCACTGAGGCTGTCCCAGCCCCACATTGTCACACACAGCTACAGGGGAACATTGCCAGCTGCTGCTCTGTGAGCCCTACCTCTGCATGCCTCCAGCTGTCCTGTCAGGACTTTGCGGATCTCTGAAATCCAAGTGTTCTTCAGCTCAACAGAAGATGCCTGAGAACAAAGAGGACAAGGCAAAGCAGATCCAGTTAAAACATGCTGCCAATCACTGCGCTGCCCTGACCTACACCAGCTCTCAGCTTTGCCAAGGATTGGAACACTGTGGCCAGCTTTGAGCAAAGCAGACACTCCTCAACATAGAAAAGTTACTACAAATCCAAAGTCCTGTCCTTGCTTTTCCAGCATTCCAAGGAATTTTCTATTACTTTATTTCTTCTTTTGGCCAAAATCCTGGCCATTTTCACAATAAATTAGCCATTTCAGTACCTTTGAAAGTGCTTCACCAATAAAGCTTTCAATGGCTATTGTTTCTGGAGTGTACAGGACAGTGTGCATTCTTAAAAACAATTCACTTGAAAGGAAGTATAGCCCTTGAAAACAAAAAGAATTGTCATTACCTGAATGATATAGACTTCTTCTCTGCCATTATACCAGATCTCAAACTTCTTATTATCCCCTTTTACATTTTCTGTAATGCCCACAGTGCTCATCTGTTTCAAAATAGAAAACAAGAAGCTGGAATCTGGAAAATATCAACAGTCTTTAAACTTGATCCTCTGAGGAGCATTTTTAAAAGGCTGCATTCACTTCTGACACCTTTGGGAGTCATTAAAAGTAAAATTCAGAGCATGTTATTTCTCAATATCTAATTTGTCATTTGTCTTTTTGATTGCTAAAGGGAAAAAGAATGTTCAAAATTAACCCAAGCTAAAGTCTGATCTTAAATTTATCTTCTTTTCTTTTATTGCTTGATCTGTGGATCAGTTTTCAACCCCATCCTGGCTCTTGTTCACCTTGATAAATTTTCAGTTTTAGGACTGTTTTTTTCACTTGCTATCACTGACCTGTTGAGATGGGAGAGAAAGAGGGATGGAATAGGGCTTTGTGAAATTTAATGACCAGTCTGCAAATCCAGAAGACACAAAAAAAATTTCTAGATTTCTTAAATGAAAACTTCTTAATCACAGTCTTGAAGTTCAGCTGCTACTAACAGCTTCTCATCTTATTACTGTATTTGCTCATGCCTCTTGTTCACATCCACATCAGCATTTATTTAAAGATTTAGACAGTGTTATGCCACCATTCCTTCTATGTCTACAGGAAGAAACTGGAAATACTTAGATGAATTGGTAAGAGCCTTGAAACAGATTCTGTTACAATTCCTGTCTGGGTACCCTGAAATAAGTTTGGAACATTTCACTTGATGATCTGTGTTAGCTGGTTAAAGTCACAAGTGTCACACCAATGTGCTTAGAGGGAAAATGTGGCCTACTTGTGATTGCCACCTTAAAATGTCCTGACTCATATCTGGAAATTTCACTCTTACAAATAAAAGGGCACTTCTACTGCACTGATTCATCTGTAGGTGTTATTGCCACAGAAAATATCTGCTCAGCTGTGCCAATAGTAAAACTTGCCATAGAACTGCACCTGGAGGATGCCTGTAGGCAGAGCAATGACAGATGCAGGTCCATTCAGTCTGGTTTCTCTTTATAGATGCTGGGCAAGATCACACAAGGTGCCCCTTTGTGTCAAGTTGCAAAGAACAAGGTTCACATCTGCAGTTGCAGGATAGCTTGGTGTGTCCCCAGTCCAAAACTAAATGGGAGCTGTCATTTATTCAGGGGTGCAAGACAGCTTCTTCAAATCCCCATGTGGCACATCCCTGCCTGTGAGAACACCAGACTTATTTCCCTCCCCCATCATTACTGCATTTATTACCTTTAATGAATTTTTAAAGCTGTATGAAGCTGTCTTTTCATGGCCATCGGTGTTCTCCTCCCGTTTCTTGCAGAAAAGCAGCATTTTTGTATAGAGGAAGAGGTGTCTCTGCATTGGTTTGAACCTAGCCAAGTCCTTCACCTTGTTATGCCCCTTCTTGTGGTCAGTCCATACGTTGAAGGAGCCCTGCATCAACAGCTTGCCAAGCTCACTGACATCTCCCTAGCAAGCAAGGAAAAGAGAGAGCATAGATCACACTCAAACCAGGGTAGACCCAGGCACAATTCATTTCTCTGCTGATGTTTGAGGTTCCAGGCAGAGGCAGCCCTAGTGTTGGAGAGTGCACATGTCCCCTTGCTAAGCCTGTGTGGTTTCTTCCCACAACCATTAACCCACTGGTTTCCATGTCCATAATTCCCAGTTTGTCTCCCCACACATAGTTAGCATTTAAGATCCACCTCAGGATCTCTCTGGATGTGACACACAGGCTGTCCCCTCTGGTGACCTCAGAGGAACCTTCTGCTGACAAAAACTGGGTTTCAAGGCCCCTGACTCCAAGGCAGTAAGAAGGGCCAGTGCAGTCCAATACCCAAACAAAGGCTTTGGCTCTGGAAGATTTAGTTTCAGTTTCCACTCTTGTGCAAGCTTCCTCCATCCCTGGGCAAAACCTTGAAAGAGCTCAGATGCCTGAAGTCACGGATCAGTGCCTAGAGCTGTGTAGGTATGTAATTCCCTCCTGTTTCAAAATAGTCTTTACAAGCTTTGTCAATAATTTCTTGGCTCACCATCTGCAAACTATACAACACGGCACAGCCCTGGGCAAAGAGGGAGCAAATGCACCAAGGAGCCATAAAAGTACCTGAGGGAGAGTGAAGCTAGGCAGGAACAAGACCTTTCTAAATTAAAGCTCTTGTCTGAAGGAAAATACTTCAACTGATATAAATATTTAGCTCAGATGCCACCAGAACAATCCCACATTAAAAGTGGAGGAATGTGTGTATATAAGACATGGCAATGTCTATATGGTAATGGGATTCAACAAATTATGATAATCATAACTATCTTAACACAAGTTTTCCTAGGAATGTTTTATATAATAAGTTGAGGGAATAAGCCCAGTGCATTATTAAAGTACTTACTTTCAACATTTGCATGTTCTGTTGATTATAAGGTGAAGATGTTGGCTCCAAGTGGGAATGTCTCATTTCTTATACTAAGAATTGCAACCTGCTCTCCCTCTCACTCCCCCTCCTCTACCCTGCATTCAACTGCAAAACCAGAGCTTTATTTGGTACTTTTACACTCTATATCAGTGTATTATTAGACTCTCCAAACCATTCAGAAACCCTCAGCAATTTAGATAAGTCTGTCATCTCTAATATATAGACCTGGATCTTTTCTTTGTGCATACAGGACTGGGGGTGTTTGTATTTATATGTGCATGTAGCTATAAACTGCAAGCCTGTGAAAAGCACATGGATATGCAAAACTAAATTAAAAAAAAAAACAAAAAAACAAAACAAAACAAAACAAAACAAAACAAAAACACAAAAAAAAACCCCACAAGCATATTTTCTACATGGTTCTGACAATGGTGAGAGGCTCCTGTCACTCCAGGCAGTGTTCAATACAGCACTGAGATCCAGAAGCTCAGTTCAACTATTGTGACAGGTCTGTCTTTCCAACCTTGAATCCCTTGGAATTGGGATAATAGTGAGTGAAGTGAGAGACAAGAAAGAGACAGACAGGGATGGCAGACTGCAGCAATCCCACAGCAGACTTTAAATATTAGCCCACAAGCACTGCACTGTTGTCAGTGTAGGCAGCAAATAGGAGGACTGTTTCTGGTAATTTCTGCTAGTGGACAGCAATATTTTATCCTAAAGGAAGTTTATTTAAAGTGGAGGATTTGATCGCAATCTCAAATATAATTATTCCCTATTGGAGCAATACATAGTATCCCATGTTTATGGAGGATGAGCAATACATAATGATAATTTATAAGAATGTCTCATCATAATTCATGGACAAACTGCCCAGGCCAGATTGTGTACAAATATTGGGATAATAGTAGGAAATACATCTAAATCTTCTGCTCTCTGAGCTTTATTCTACATTTTTTTCTTTTTTTTCTTTATTTTTTTGTGGTTTTGCCTAAAAATAAAAAACATACACCAATCCAGACTTACATATTAGCAATTTCTTACACAAGAGTTCAGCTCCCCAAATCTGCATGTGCCCAAGTCCAAGAAACAGAATGTGCATGTGGGAGCATTCACCAGCTGTCCCAAAACCTGCTTCCCTACTGCCATAATATCCCTCTCTGAAAGGTTTTCCTTTCCAGGCAAGTATTCCTATCATGGCTGTGTGGGAAAGACTCCACAAGATGGAGTGTGGTTTCATTGTCTATGGGAGGTGTTTATTTGGCACCACAGCTGAGCACCTGGGACAGGTGGAACAGGGAGAAGAAATTACTTGGTACATCCTCTTTCACACTTTCACCCCATTTAAAAATCATGTAACAAAACATCTCAGGAATGCTGTCAGCATTGGGCTAAACAGTGGCCATGTCCTACTCTGCCATATTTTGCAGTTCAGCTAAGAAAGCAGAGGCAAAAATCTAGTCCTTGGAGTTAATATCTGGCATTTCATGAAAAGCTGGAAAATTCAAAAGTAAAAGTTGAAAAGGAACAGGAATGTTTTTTTGAATTCCTGAGTACAAAACTACTCACACTTTAAAGCAAGGAATAGACAAAAGGATGACCTCAGCATTTATAGGGACAGGAATCTGGATAAATCCCTCCTACTCAGGATAATATGTTACCTTTCTTGGAGAAGCTCTTCTTCCCTTCCCTTTACAGAACTGTTCTGAAATAAATTTTTTGCTGAATTGCTGTAAGTACAAACATTTAAACTGAGAAATACAGGAGGAAAGCTACCTTTCTCTTTGTGAATTAATAAGAAACAGTGGAAATTGGGAGGTAGAAGGTGTGCTGTATCTATGATACAACCTTCCCTTGTCCATGTTGACTGGTTCAAGTCGGCAATAATAATATACAGGCTCTAAAGAGTTTTTCTAAAATGAACTAAAAGGAGTCTCTGAAACACTCAGACTTAGCCATGACCAGAATGGATTAAGTATGTGCTGCTTTATTTGTCAGGTTTAGGAGATGTCAGATTGTATTTATGACCTGTGGTGTTTCTCTGATCCACAAGCACCACACCTATTCAGTGTTTGCCAGTTCAATGAGGTGGCCACTGCTTCACCTTCAACCCAGTGCAGCCACTGCAGGCAAAACTCAAATTCTCATCCCAAATGTAATGCACAGTCCACATCTCCAGCTGTGTGCAGCAATGGATCTGTGACAAGCAGTTAAATGAGCAAGCAACTGCATTTATTTATAAAATCATGTTGGCAGCAGGCATGGGTTCCTCAGCTACCAGATGCAGATGCACTTGCACAAAAGAGAACTATAGAAATCAAAACTCCTGGGGCCACTCCCATCCTGATAACCAGAATAACTCTTCCCACTCAGACATTGTCTGTACAGACCTCAGAACCTTCTCAGAAAGTCAGATTTTGCACAAAATAGTTTTTCTGGATTAAAGCCTGTTAGTGTGATGTAAGAATTCTTTGAACAATACTCAGTATATTGTTTCTTTCTTGACATTTTCACCCTGCAGCTATTTCAAAATGGGCAACCACATGATTCTCAGGCCTCGTTTTGCCAGGCTTATTTCTCCTTTATGTGCCAATCACTTCCACTTCTCACTCAAGGGCTCATTTTATGTAGTCAGCACTAGTTCTTGAAAGTCATATGACTTCAATGGAGCTTCTGCAGAGACATACATTTGTGCCCTTTGATTTGTATCGTGGTTGTTATTTCACATTTCAGATAACAAGCTTGCCAATCACTGGCACAGATTCCATTACCCACTTTAAATGAAAGCCACATTTTTCTCCCTAAGTGCAAAAGATTTGAAAACACTTGAGTTGCACAGGAGCCACAAAGTTTCAGCAAATTTCTTAAGTTAGTTTTGCTACACTTGTACCTCTCACCTACAAATGAGTTTTGGGTGCAATTACTGAAAAGTCCTGCATTTGCCCCATTACGCCCCCACATTCACACCCCAGCTCCACATGACAGGGGTGCTGAGATGTATTTTTGGTCATCATAACACAACTCTGAGTGCCACCCTTCAGGAATGTGGCAGAGGCTCCAAAAAGCACAGTACCAGCCACAGGCACAGCATGGTCAGTGGTGACAGGAACATGGGATGGCTCAGAGCAGAGGAGGAGCAGCAGCAGTTACCTCATATCCTGTGATTGCTATCTGGTGCATGGAATCATTTACTGATTTGATGATATCAAGCACTGTGGCCAAGGCTTCTTCCAATTCAGCAGTGCCTTCTGAGTTCTTGCTGCACTTCAGCATTTCCTGGTTAAAAAAAGATACGGGGAACACTTGAGAACCTCTGATACCAGAAGTTACTGCAAGACAATCCTCCTGGAATCTGTTGCATAAACAAAGTAGCAGAACTAGAGGAAAACAAAAGAGGAACAAAAAAAACAAAAAAAACCCCAAATGTGACATACAGCAGGGTGGTCACTGAGGACATACATTTTGATCTTTTGAACATTTTCAAGTTTAAAGGGTTCATTTAAGATGAGACAGGACCATTGTGACGTATTTACAATGAACTCCTTGCATGCCATAGAATTACATCCAGGGGTTTTTTCTTCACATCTGCTAGAAAAGAAATTCAGTATAATTATTTCAGGTGCCAGACAGTTCCCCATTTTCTTCTGCAATTAGTTGCACAAGGTACTTACTACCACTGCTAAAAATACAAATTTTTTAATTTCTGGTCTGAATTTGGCAGGTTTGACATTCTGCATTTTGAGTTTGGAAATCTTTTAATTCCAAAAGCTGAGGCACTTGTGTTCCTGTAAAATAGGGATGCAAAAAGGTAGTTCCTGCAAACCTCAAACAGCAGCAATCTGTCCTCAAGTGCTTGGTTAACCAGGGAATAGAAGGTAAAAGCAGGACGCATTCTGACAGTACCTGCTGCACATTTTCCAGAATGAGGATGGATCTCATGAGATGTGAGCATGCTGCTTTTATCAGCATGAGCACATTAGCTAAACTGATTGAAACCAGAGGGTTGTAGTGATTGTGACCCAAAATTCAAATCCAGTCTGTCCACCACTCAAGGCACACAGCTTCTTAAACACCTGTTTGTTACCAGTTTTTCACTGGCTTCCATTTTTCTACACTTTTAAATGCTCCTGCAGCCAGGGAAGGAGTGCACCATCTTTCCAGACCTCATAAACCCTGACAAAGTAAATGTCAGTGCCAATGTGTTGTTGCTAAGTATGAAACTGGTCTGACCAGCTTCAAACCCCAATGGTTGAGACCTGTTTTGCTTGAGAATTTTACTCCTTGATCTAATCTTGGGTATATTTACAGTCATATTTCAAAATAAAAGTAAAATCTGGTTTACTCTTGCTTTCCTGGAGACCTTGACTTTTTTTTCCCTTCTCACAGAATAGTTTCAAGAAACAGAGTTCAAATTTATTTCTGGACCATGTTGATGTAAATCTACTGGAATCAGTGACATTGCATCCTTGTCTATATCCATGTTCAATATTTGGATTCTATAGTTTTACATGAAGTCAATAAGCAGAAATACAAGAATGGCCAACCAGGTCCTCCCATAGCTTATACTGGCACATTTTGAGCAGTGCCATAGTAACTATTAGCAAGTTAAATGACAACCTAAAATCTTCATTGCAAATTTCAATGCTAAATTTCATGAGAGTACATAACACCACTTTAAGCCCAGAGGCTTGAGAACAGCATGTAATTCACCTTCATGACCTTCCCACAGGGAAAGTCAGTAAATATTATTTTTAAGAACTGAGTAGATGGAGAGAGACATTTAGACAACCAGCTTAAAAAGAAAAAAAAAAAACATTGTTTTGAGTGTATATATTTTCTATTGCCTTCAGATCAGAATTTCAAGTGTGGACCACTCATGGTTCCAACCATTCAAGAGTAAATTCACATATTCACTTTATGGAAAAATGACAGACAATGTGTTCCTGGCTGTGTCTTTTAAAAAGAAGCAGCAAAGGGAGTGGCTCCCTCTGAAAGGTTTTGAGTCATAACCATAGGAAAATATTACTTCAGGGAGCTGAAAGAGTTCTGTTAAACAGGGACAGATGTTACTGACGGGATTTAAGGCATCACTTCCTGTTTTCAAATCATAAAACTGTATACTGATACAATAAAACCAAGTTCAATTTCTGTTTAAAGATAAATAAAACAATAAAATACTATCTTAAAAAATAAGTAAAATATTTTATATAGAGAGAGCTATACATGTAATAGTATACTGCTTTTACTTAGTATAAGTACTGCTAAGTAATAGCAGTTCCCAATCTAAAACAGATTGGGAGCTATGGGGAAAAAGTCTAATCTAAAATCTAAAATAGATGTGGAACAGGAAGTCCCTGTACAAGACTGTTTTCTACCATTTACAACTAAAAAATGCTGAGGATTTGCTGAAGAACTGAGTAAGGATTTATTTCCAGGTAGTCATGAGTGATATGCAATTCTGGAAGTAAAGCAAGCCATACATTGGAATTCTTTGCACTGTCATGGAGGCATTACCTTTAGCAGCAGCTGGTACTTGGTGATTCTCTGAACTGGCTTTAAGAGATAAGCATCAAGTGAGAGCTTATGATCCAATTTACGCTGACATTCCTGCAGGAGACAACACAGAAGAAAAATAAAATTGTTTCTTGAAACACAGGCAAGTCACCAAGATCATTATCATTTGACAATCTGAAGATTATAAGTCTGTGAATTAATTGAGAGAGAAATTTGTTCCATCTGCATAGGAATTTCCGGGTTACTTATCCCACAGTGAAAATATATCTAAACAAAGGCTAATGTTTAGGTTCCACTTGGTGTTGAAATCTGGCATTCCCTGCTGATGAGATTGCAATCAGCTGGGATTTGCAAAGCAGCCAGCATTTTTCTGGTGTGGGTATAGACTGCAGAACCAGGCTCCCATCCAGGAAATCTACCCACTGCTCTACCTGCCCAGTCTCCTGTAGAGAACACCCTGACACACACTGGGCACCTGCCATCAGTGTAAAAAGCATGCAGGAAAGTCTGTGTTTTGGCCTAGGTTTTCTAAAGAACAGAGATACACAAGGAAAATGAGCTTTGAGGGTCTTGCACTGCTAGTCTGCACTGAAATTCCACCTGAAAAAAGATGCTGTCTCCACACTGTCTCCAGAGAGCTTCAGACCTTGGTTTGTTCTGACAGTACTTTTCATATATTTGGAGGTCCTCCTTCTGCAAGAAAAGAAGAGTTTAGGTAAGGGAAGAAAAAAAATATAGAGTGTCTTTCTTAAACCACACTTTTTCTTATCTTCCATCCTAACACATGAAGTAATTATTACATGGGAATAACTCTGTATGTAAAAACACACTGAAACCACCAAATCTGCTTTTTACTTCTGATTAAATTAAATACAACTGAAAATGAGATTTTTTTCCCCCCTCACTTTTCATACAAAGCAAGGAAACTGCAGACTGGAAGATAAATGATTTAACAGCAAAACCAGTATCTTTTCCAGGGAGGTAAATTGATGGTTTGGAGAAAAAAACAAAACAAAACAAAAAAGAAACATTAGAAATTTAAACTTTATTAGCAATTCTATTAACAATACTGACACAGACTGTAATTGTTAATGATGACTAAGGTTTAGCAGTTCAAAAGACTTCAAAAATAGTGTTGGCTCTCAACAATACAAGGAGAAATTAAAAAGGAGGAAGTTTGTTGATGTCCCAGGCCAGGCAGGGGAATGTGCTTAAACCTTGTCCTCTCCAAATTAGAAGTGAGTAGATTCCCTTTATTTAGCTTTGACTACACTCCAAGTGCTCTCACTGAGGTCCATGGCAAAAATCTCCCTGACTTCAGTGAAAACAGAGACAACCTCTACAAAAGCCCAGAAAGGGTGTTCTGAGCTCTGTGGGCAGATGCAGGGATGGCTGCTCCCCTGCCAGGACCTGGGCTGGCTGCCTGGGCACCCAGGTGCCCACAGGGCAGTGCCATGGGGCTCCTGAGCAGGGTTGGCTGTGCCTGACCAGCCAGGAGCTTCCCACCTTCATCTGCACCTACCCTGCTGGATGTGACCTCAGCAAATCAAAGAAAACACCAAAAATAAATCTCAGCAATTCCTAGATTGTTCCTCTGCGCTCTCAGCCCAGCAGGCAGTTCCCACACACTCCTGCTGCAGGGAAATCACTTCCTTCTGTACAATTAGCAGAAGAAATCAGCGTTGCTGCTGTCTTCCTCCACAGACCCATCCTGACATCACCCTGATGAATCAGCGGGGAAATCAGAGCTCTGCCGCCTAATACCACGCTGTGTCAAGGATTGTGCAATACAAAAACCTCTTCTGTTGCAACTCTATAGAATATTTATGGTGCTGTTTCAAAATAGGTGCAGAGTTTTCTTCACAAAAATATAGTTATTTGTACATGTTGCCCTGGAGGGAAGTTAGCAGGTGGTAAACTCCACAGAACTAAAAATAGCAACAAAGCATAATCAAGTATTACAATCTCATACTAGCCCACAGAAACCTAACTGGACTGGGTAAGAAGAAGAGAGAGAGCAACAGACAAGAGAACTGTGAGGAATAAGAGAAAAAAAAAATTTAAAAGCAAAGAAAATTTACAATTACCAACAATTTACCAGTAATTTGCCATAGTGGAACCACCCTATGCCAGTGCAATCTACTGCTGCCTAAATCAGTGACACCTGCTAAGGCAGATACTTACATATTTAATTACAGCTTTAAGTTTTGCAATAGTGTTAGGAATAGAATTAGGCTCAGACTTTAAAATGCCAAGAAATAATTATTTGTCTAATTATTCAAATCCCAGTCTTAAATATTCCACACATCTCTATTTTCATATGCAAAGGTTCTGACTTCTGGCTGGTACTTTTACACCATGCTCCTCTCTCCTGCAAAGCTTTTCCTTTCCACACTGATTTGGTCCCTGAGAGCTTTGTAAGCTCCAATGCACATGGCATATAAGTACAGTTCCAATTCTCTTTTTGACTGCTAATTTATGGATAATTTTTGCATTAGTCTAGAATTTAGACCATTGAATCAAACTCACAGGTTTCTGGTCAGCTGCTACTGTCCTTTCGCAGGTAGATTCCTTTTCTAAATGCTTCTTTCTCCCTGAATAACCAAATGTCCCAACTATTAAACCATTCCCTATTTTAAGGTTAGCAATATGAATAAGTGAGGCATGGTAATGCACAGTGAATCACTCCTGCCAGGAACTTCACCTGGCACATTCTGGTAAGCAGTCTGACACACCTTTGGTTCCATCCTATGCATTCTTGCCTTAGTTTGGTAAGGTTTCCTTCTTCACAGCCCTTTGGAAAGCAGATCAGCCCAGAGTGTCCCTCCTGTTGCTGATAAAGCACCAGAAGGAATTCTGAAGGAATTCAGTGCACATCCCTCCTGTCTTTGAATGCTATACAGACCTTGACAACACAGAGCTGTAAGGAAGGTCAAGCATCTTGGTGATGGCAAAATAGCTGCCGTGTGGGTAAAATTAAACTGGCTCACTTGTAATTTATCTCATCTGAACATCATGCCCTAAATGAGGTGAGGCAAAGTGGGAGGGAAAACAAGAAAGGGATTTCTGGCTCATCTTTTACCAGATTCTGCTGCCATGTGCCAGGAGACAAAGCCAGAGAGAGAGTCCACAGGCTGTTTCTCCCATCACCTGAGATGCAGGGTTCACATTCATGGTGACAGCTGCTCAGGTGGCATTGGTGGAGCTGGGAGGGTGTGTGGGGACATGGCAGGGGATGGAGTGGCTCTGGCACCAGAGTGTCTCACTGCGGCTCTCAGGATACTTTCAAGCAGCTCTGGAATCAGGGCTGAAAAGGCGCAGTGTGATCAGACAGGGTAAAACTCTTCAAAATATGAATTTTTAAAAAACTGTCTGTTTCCAGTAGCCCATCCTGTTGTTGTGGCAGGAGGGTCACACCCATACAAAGTGGGAGAACCTACAAGAGTGTGAGTTCCTCCCAGAGCTCAGCATCTCTTGGAACAGCAGCTGCTTCTGTTTGCCCCTGTCACTGCAAGCACAGCCATAACTCACAGGGCAGCCAGAAGCCACTGCTCAGCAGGAAGGCATAAAAAGCTGCCAAATCATGGGGAACACAAACACACAACCAGACTTTTGTTTGTGCCTCCCAAAGGCAGTCCAACAGAAACAACACATTTCTGGACTTTATGTGGCTTCTTCTAAAAACAGAACATAAGGGCAGGAATCAAAGGTGCTACTGTGTGAGCAGAGGCATCTCAAGAGAGGAGCTTGTGCTTTCTTAGTGTGAAATTTGAAATAGGGAGAAAGCAAATGCACAATTTAACCTCTTATTTGATAGACTTAGTGTGGTTTGACAAGGCCACAGAAACTGATGAGCTACAGTGATGGAGGGACTGGTTTTCTTTCACTTCATACCAGAACCCCAACTTTAGTGCTGTTTTCATATTGGTATAATAGTGAGGAGAATTGGACTTAATAGCTGTTTTTACAGAGAGACAAGCTATGATATTTAAATATGGAGTTTGAACCTCTTGCAGAATCAAAACACTTCTACATTTCTATACCAAGAATTTTTATTTAGTTGCATTCTTTAGGGATATATGCAGCACATGGACTATTTTACATTTCTTGGGTTTCAGAGGTCTGCATTCTTCAAAGACTGCTTTTCCTCATTTGCATAATGATTTCACCACAGTATTTTCCTGCCCAGCATCTGAATCTTAGGATAACAACATATGCCTTAGCAGCGTCATTTACTCAAGCTCTAAATGCTAAGTTGTTGAACAGAAAATAATCCAATGGACATATAATCACATTTACACTTGTATGATTCTCTCCAGCCTGACCTGCTTGTAAATTGGAAGTGTACTCTTTGCAAGTATCACATGCTCAAATTCCCATTAAATCTCAGTAATGTGGCAGTGCTCAGCACCTCTGACTGCTTCATCTAAATTTGTCTGTATTTAATGTGTGCTCTGGAAAAGCAGCAAATGCTACCTGTATTATACAGTAGAAGCAGGAAGTACCTTTGACTACAGTGGGCAGATTTTCCCATTTCTCATGCCACTTCCATTTCCTGTGCAAAACACAGAGCCTTATTCACAGAGTTTTGTCAAACCCTGAAAGCAGTAGCAAACCACCAAAACAGATTTTTTTTCATTAGTAGGGCCCCTGAAGGAGTGCTGCATAAACAAGCACCTTTGGTTGTGTGCAGGAAAGAACTAATGGCCCGGCTGAGTGGGGGAGGAGGGACATCACAGGGAGCTCTTGGAGAGAGCAGCACTTGGGCACTGAGAGTCACCTCAGCAGAAGGGAGAATCCCACTGGGTGAGTTTTGTGGAGAAGTAAAGGGAATCGACCTCACAGAGTCTTTTGGGGCTGGTGGGTCCATGCAAGGACAGCAGCATGGGACAGTTCTAGGGGACCAAGTGTCCTGAGTTGTGCAGAGAAGAGAGAGATAAGATAAAGCAGAAACAGGATGTGTTGTCTGCACTCAGAGCAGCCTGCTGTGACACCGATACCATCCTCTGCTTATTTACTACAGGGTGGTGTCTGGGTTACATCATTCTCCTGCTATAGATGTGAAATAGATATGAAAAGCATGTAAAACATTTGGATCACTGTTATTGGTTGGTTTTTTCCTTTTAAATGAGACTTAAAATACTTGTAAAACACTGGTAACAGATCTCTTCCTGTCAGTAAACAGATAAAGGGTCAGATATCAGAATATATGCTTGGTAACAGTGGCTTAATTTAGGAATATCTGCTTAGAGGAGTTTCCCTCATTCACAAAAGCAAACAGACTGAAAAGATGGGAGTAAGTCTGTAATTACTGTAGGATAAGACCATAGATATTCATTCAAACCTGAAAAAGGATATACTTACTGAAAAAGGATATACTTACTCTTTTCAAAAAGCATCGGGCAAGAAGCTCAGGGTTTTCAATGCAATTTTCTATCTCCTTAAGGAAAATCCTGAGACGGAGAAAAAGAGAGTAAAGAGTAATGTAAAATGCCATTCACATTGTGTGTTAGCTTGTGTAAATGCAACTTAAAGCCTTCATTTTTGTAATATGAGGAATCAATGGGGAAGGTAACACACCAAGAAATATATATTTTAGAAAAATGGGATGTGGCTGCCACCTGATTCCCTAAATCACAAATATTATCATATTTTATCTGCGACATATGATTCCTCTGGCTGTTGAAATTTGTTTCATATCTGTAAACCAAATACCTGCTTTCCATTTGGGTATGAGGATTTTTCAGAACAGCTAGAAAAGACAGGAATGCTCTGTCAGATGTAGTTGCTCAATCAGAAAACAGTGAAAATATGGGATGTAGTCCAAAGTCTTCTGCAGTGACAGTGAATGCACAAAACTTTTAGGGAAAGAAAGATTGGGCTTGCAAAGGGAGAGGAATATCCTTCTCCAAGTGGAAGACACAATCTTTGAAAATAATATATAAAATGGAAAATAATTTTTTCTACTAGGTATTAACTACTCTGGCATAATATTAAGACTTGCAAAAGAGATTTTTAAAATTTTTTTTCAACTATTTTTTACGTCTTACAGGCAATTATTATTCAAAAGAATTCCTAAATTCCCACTTTGGTTACAGTGACAGAAAAGGACTGGATGTGATGGTGGCGCCCAAGGATGCAGGACAACCACCAATTCCCAGGTACCTGTTGTGGAAATAGTAGATTTCTGGGAGGTTCCCAAAAAGAACTTCCTTCTTGTTCTGAAGTGCAGATGGAATCAGATGTACTAAATTCGGATTGTCCATTTCTGAAGCATACCCCTGCAGAGAAGAGTGGAAAATAAAATCAGCATGTTTTTACCAGGGAAGAAGTACTGTGTTCAAGGCACTGGAAAGCCCCAAAGTTCATGTGCTTTTGTTCTCCACAGAGCAAACAAAGCTTCTCCCATGCCTGCTGCTTTGCTGCTCCCATGAATTCCTGATGTTTCTGATTTTCCCCAGAGATTTTACCCTGTAACTGTGCAAACATGTTTTAACCACAAATGAACAGGTCGTGAGGTTAAGAAAAAATGGACAAAATTATGTCTCTAGGATTTAAAAGCCATTTGGGTCATGTAGGGATGGAGACTGCTAATATTGACAGACAGATTTCTTTCTGCTACCCTGCTTCATTGCACAAGAGTTAGTTTGGATTTACTTGTTGGACTATTTTTTTTTTCTTGTAAAAACTGTATTGTGTTTCTTCAATAATAACTTTGAGAAAAGAACATTCAGACTTTAAACTCAAGAGTAATATATCAATTACCAGAGCTGCCAGCTCCCATGGAACAAATGCAATGAAGAATCAACCACACATCCCAAAAGTCCCACCCAAATATAAGCATGATTGATCCCTACTCAGCTTCTGTCCTCCCACAGACTGGGGACCTCAGACTCCACACACACTGAGTATGCTGGTATCCTATCAGTTTCAAAAGCTCAAGAATTACATTTGCAGCATGAGCATTTTTCTCTGTGTTCAAGCACAAAATGGGACAATGAAGAAGAGCAGGAGGGGTGCCTTCCTCTTCCTTAATCATTTTTCAAGTGCAGATTCACAGAATTTAGTGTGTGGCCCCACGGACATCAAAGTGCTGCTTCTGAGACCTATTGGTAATATTTTGAAAATATATTATTAACTCTTTCTCTGTCCATAACTTTCAGAACCATGCGAACTGCCATTCTGTGGGTTTGGGCCAGAGAAGGTGCCTTTTCCTTTAAGGCCTGAGGCAGGATGTTCAAAACATCCTTCCCATTCTCCATCTCCAAGGCTGAGCTATCTTGCCAACACCGCCTGTGTGTTATAAACAGGAGGTGGGAGTGCTCAGCCCATGAAGGATGTGCACCTGCAGTGATGACTTAGTGGTTAAGCATCAGAAAGTAATTTCAGAAGAGTTTCTTACCTCTATTATACTTTGAAGTTCTTCTACATAAACCCGTTCTGTTTCTATCAGTTCATTGATTATGTGGCTGAAAGACAAGAAGGTAGAGAGTCATAGTGTTAACCAAGCACAAGTGAAAGAAAAGAAATAGGATTCCTTATGTATTCCTGTTTATGTCTTCAACTACACACAAAAACCCTCTGAAGGTCATTTCTCAGTTCTTCAATCCTGGGCCTTGTTGATAAGATTAAAAGACCTAAGCACATCTTGGACTGTAATTTTTTTCAGCTCATTTTAAACTTCAGTTTGGATTTTTCCGTCATTTTTATAACTGCAAATTGGAAAAAAATTTTCCCAAGAAGAAAAAAAAAAAGTGTTTTTTTCTAAGAATAACTAATACTGAATAAAATGAAATTGTACTTCAGAGCTATGCTAATGTTTCTGATTCATTTCTTTTATAAAATAAACAAAATCAGTGGCTAGACTTCCATCCTTTATTACAATGCAAAAATTATGTCAGTCTGAAAATATGAAAGTAGATTAAAATCTTTTTACTACATTTTGAACATTTAATTCCTAGCATTAGTTTAATGCTTCTAGGTAACTTGAAGACATATATCTTGAAGATTGCTGACATTTCACAGAAACATAAATGTAACCAATTCACTTTTGAACAAATAGCTAATTAGATTTTAAAATAAAATTACATTAGATCTCTTATGTTTTTGTGCATCAAATGTTCCATATTATCGAGAAAGTGTTGTCTTTATTAGTGTTACAAACAAAGTTTTCAGGGTAGCTCCTCCAGAGGTGTGAGCAGTAGGAAAGGACAAGTCCTTGGTGTTCTTTTCCTGGTCTGTGCTTCTTGAGAGTTTTTAAGCACAGCTATCTCAAGCCAAAACACATCCCCAGAAGGACACTAGGGAATAATGTCTAGAGGAACTGGAGTGTGGCCAGCCATGAGCAGCGCACAACCTGAGGCCAGTACAGTGTAGGCAGCTCTTGGCATCAATAGCAGCACGTGCATTCATCCAGCATCTCCCTGCACACACTGCCAGTGCCTGCTTACCTGGCTCTGTGTGTCACACAACAGCCACACCATCAGCCAGACCCTGCTTACCTGGCTCTGTGTGTCACACAACAGCCACACCATCAGTCTGCTTACCTGGCTCTGTGTGTCACACAACAGCCACACCATCAGCCAAACCCCATCAGCCCTTTAGATCATGAGTCATGACTGTACTGTTGCATCCACTCTAAGGGGATTTCCTTATTCTCCACAATTCTTTAGGATGTCCTTTTTGAGGTTAAAAATAAATCCCACTTCTGCTAAAGCCTCATTTGAATGGTTTGGTCAAGCATTTAAAAATAAAATAGCCACATTTCAGCTAGCAGTTTGACATGCAAAAGCACTGACTAAAATGTTACTTGGCTACTACAGTAGATTCACTGGTTTCCTTTGGACTTCCCCAGCCCTTTTTCAATGAAATGTGGTTTTGTAGGCTAGCTGGGCACCACTTATTCAGGTCTCAAAGGCTATTACTCCTTTATGGACCACTGCTTGAGAAACATTATGAATACTGAGAAAACCAGACCTTACCTTCAAGTGATGTTTCAGATTTGTTATAAAATAGCTGGGATTTCATAGCTGTCTTGGCATAATGCCTTAAATTGCAATGTCATGCACAAGGTAGGGCAGTGGGTGAGGGCTGTACTAGTGCTCCCCTGGCCACACTCAGGTCCCATTGGCCACTCTTGCACTGGCTGTGGGCTCCTGGTGACTCTCTCTGCTCCCCCTCAGATGTCCCTAGTTTGGGAGACCCTCCCAAATGTTCCACTGCTGATTGTGCCAGGACTGGAGCTGCTCCATGACTGTCATGGACAATGAGGGCAGCTTAGCACACACCTGCTGCCACTATCACATTTAACAAAAGTATGAGGCAGCAATTGACAGGATTATTGTCACAGGCATCTCCTCCCATCCCCTTTTCCCCTTTGATATGCCTAGGTTAGAAGTAATGTTTAGTGTAACTGGGATGTGTGAGGTAAAGGGGCAGGGGAGAACTTCCACACTGTGTTGTTCATTCATTTCAGGGAAATTTTACGAGAATTTGAGGTTTGCATGGCAGCAGTCCAAACACAACAAAACTCTGAGCTGGCTGAAGTTTATGGGCAATTCTGACAAAGATAACTCCTCACCAGGATCATTCCCAAGCAAACCGGCCATCTCAGCAGGGATGGTAAAGGATTAGGCATCTGACCTAAAGGTCAGAATCTGAGAAATCCCTAAAGTCCTCTCTGTAGGCATCCTTGTTGCTAGTAAAACTTGTTCCACTCAAATGTACTTCCTCCTTGCCCCATGAAACAAAGAGATTCATCAAACCAGCAGAGTTAGCCAAAGGCAGAATATTCTGGTCCCAGAAATACCTGACTCAGTAGCTTTCCTGGTATGGAAATAGTGATGTGCACTGCTCAGGAAGTCAAGGCCAGCTTTCCCTCTGGAGGGAGTTAAACATGTCCTAGCAGAGGGAGCTCAGCAACCAGCAGCCTGGCAAAGCCCTGAGCATGGCAGGGCCCCTGCTGCCACCCCTGCTTGGCAGAATTGGGGTGTGTTTGTGGCAGGGATCACACACAGACTCATTGATACCACGTTGTCAGATGTTCCTCCAGCAAAGGAAACTTCTTGGTATGGAACTTAACTACAATGCATGAACTAGCTCACATTTCCTTGAATTATTGATCTGGGTTTCTAAGGAAACATTGTGGCCTTGGATACACCAAGACCACATTTCCCACAAGGGGGGTTTTACAGAGGTGCCATTTGGGCTGTTTTTTCTCACTTCAGCAGCTGTGATATCCTGTGCCCCTGCAGCACCACTGAGATCTCACACATTGAGCCACTTTTCATGACTCCCAGCTTTGAGAACCCCTGAAGCACAATATGGATTATAAGAAAGAGAGAGTAATAAGAAAACAATTTCTGCTTTGTCAATAGTGCTGTCTCTGGCAAGTTAGTCATGCCATGCTGCAGTGAAGAAAAAAATTATTTCACAGAGGAAGCTCCTCAACAAGGGTTAGAATGTAGGAGCTGCAATGGACAACAAAGCATTGGGAAAAGCCTTGTTTTTAGCCAAGGTTGTAAGTGAAACCTTGAAACTGAGGTATAACTCTGCTATTACCTATCACCCTTGACTTTTAGAGATGCATTTCTCTATCAGCCCCTGCCTGTGCTGGTATTTAGATCAAAGGTAGTTATTTATATCACTTTGCACTGTGCAAATAGCAATTAGCAGCATTGTTGTTATAAGTATAAACTTACCCTGCACTGTATTGTGTTGTTGCAACAAAATTTTGTCAGTAGGTGTTTCTGAGCTGGCTTCTTCGGGTAACTGAGAGCACACTTCTAGGAAGGGCTCATCACAGTGACCATAAAGGAGACACAGATCAGATCATTTCATCTCAGTAACTCTTTCTCCTTCCTTCTTCTTTAACAACAGAAGGAAAAAGAAACAACTGAATGGTTGGCCAAGCTCCCCAGGGTTGTCAGGTCATTCTGAAAGTCTCTGTCAAAATAATTTTGGCAGGATGGTTTCTCTGCTGTGATGTGCTGCCTTAAAAAACCCCCATCAAATATAATGAAACGCTAAGCAGGAATATTATCCAGAGATTACCACAACCTATTAATATCTCCTCTGGCTAAATCTCAATTGCTTTGTCCTCATACAGTTACTATTTGTGCATCCTGCTCAGATGACAATATAAACTAATTCAGGATTTTTGTTTCCATAGCTGTGTTTCTCTGACAAACTCATTGGCTCACCTCCACTCACAGATCCTGTTTCTATGCCAGGATTTGCTATCACACATGCCTGTCCTGATAAGGAGTCTTTTCTCAGAACAGGAATTGAAGCCATCAATTAGAATTAAACCAGGGAGTTTTTCTGAAAAGAGACCCTGGTATAAATCATAACTGGTGCTACAAAATTATTGTGCTGCAGAAAACCTGACAGCATGACAGGTGTGGAGCCAGCAGAAATGGCAGTCATGCATGAGCTCTCCATATCTGTCTTACAAAAACACATGGTGGAACAGGAATATTTTCAACAGCCAGAACAGCAGAAAATGGGTATGCAAGAGCAAAATATTTAATATTTAATTAATAATAAATTAATTTTAAAAACACTCCCATCACTTTTATAAATATATCTAATATGAATAGAGAGCTACTTAAATTGAAAATACTGTCTCTTTTAATACCTGAGGCTTCAAACACAATAGGAAAGGCTGAAAGAGCCTGTGTGCAGTGTAATGGAAACATAAACACAGAAAAAATATCAACATTGGATAGACTTGGACTTAAGGGAAATCAGAGTGAATAATTACTGGCTTGCAAAAATGAGCACAGTGGTAAAAACCTCCCTGGTCCAGCACTCTGGCTAGTTCTAAGTACTGTGAAATTTCTATTTCTGAATGTAAATAAAATTTAACAAAAATACCATTTATTTGCAATGGTATCTTCTTTGTAGGTAGTATATGATGAAAGTCTCATTGTTGCAGTAGAAACAGAATCAGCAATAAATATCACATCCAGTTTTGAATTAGAAATCACTACAAAAAATTCTAAGACTGGTCTAATTGTAAAATCTCAAAATTATCTTAGTGCTATGGAATGAAAAGAAATGACAGCATGTCAATAGCTGAGTAGAAGAAACTTCCATTCCACCTACATAATTGCATTTAAGAGGAATTTTTTTGTTGTTTTTCACAGTGCTAAAAAGGCCTTTTTCAGTAGAAAAGTATTCTCAACTGAGGTTACACAACAGCTCAAATGAAATGAAATTTGAGTAATGAGTCAGTTGCTGTACTTTACCTCCTAAAGTGTAAATGTAATAAAAGATCATTCTAGACGTAAGAACATTTGTTTCAACAGAACTTGTTGTTAGTTGATACAGTATTTGTTAGTTGATACAGAAAACAGTTCTGATTTCTCTGGCATGTACTCTTTTTTTTGGTTGGTTTTCTTTTTGTTTTTTTTTTTTTTTTTCCCCAATGAGAGCAATGCCTCAAAAGAGCAATGATTGTTCTTAA